ATGTAGGTACATGAACTTCTAAGAAACTTATTAACATAAAATTGCATTACCCAATCAAGACTGATGACTGTTTTTTGTTGACTGAATGATGGTTATATTTTCATAGCTATGCTGACCCGTCTCTCAAACATCAATATATGACGTTCTCTCATAAGCGGTTGCAACACGTTAGGGCGTATATCGAGGCCGACTTGATTACGGTATGCAGCTGGAGCATTACGCATGCCAGGCGTCGTAGGTACCTTCGTCTGTAGATATCATTTGAAGGTGTTAGATTTTTACCACTTTCATTGAATATAAATTTACATTATGTTACCTATCTAAATAAGCACTTTATCTAGTTAAAAATCGCTATCCGTATGTTAATCTAGTTATTTGTATGCTTAGTTCCAGGGTTCGAAAATATCCGATATTTATTATAAATATCAAAATATCGGATATTTATGATATATATCAGATATATATCAACTTTGATATATATCAACTTTGTATGAAAGCCATACTATTATTTTATTGTATTATTCATGAATACTATTGCATATCTGTTAGATAAACATGTTTTTAATTTTTTCTAAACTTAAAATCAGACAAATAAAGCAAAAACATAAAATATTCTTTTAAATACGGCAAAATCAACTAAAAAAATAAAAATCTTTGTCAAAAAGTACAAATACAGTAACAATTTTTAAAAGTTGATATATATCATCAAAACCGGCTTGATATATATCGGCTATATATCCGATATATATCTTGATATATATCCCTTGATATATATCCTCGAACCCTGCTTAGTTCTGATATTTTTTAGTAGAAACTAACTGACCTGATACGTGGCCCTATAGTACATATTTAAAAAATATAAAGAAATACCTGAATTAATCTTGTAAATTATAAAAACAAATCCGTGCAGTTGTAAATTAACTCTAATGTTCAATTTCTTTAATTTCTCGATTTAACCAGAGTATTTTTGTTCATTCTGAATTCTTGGTTGTAGCCGCAGATTTAAACAATTTTATAAAATCAAACGGCCAAAATATGAATAAAATCGTACAGCGCATAACTAAGTAGCCGTTTACCTAAAATTAAAACACATGTTTGACACAGTTATTAGTATTTAGTTTACCTACTGTGATCTAAATCTAAAATTGTACTCTGTGCTCATACTTTCGTATAAAACGTTTATGAACACGTGAATATTAGATACCCGAATGATAAAATATAAACATTTGAATGTATGTTTTGTTTGTCTTATTTTTATGTTGAAACGGAGTAACGAAGTTTTTAGTGTGTAGTTTATGGATTTTACAGTGACACTACTACTCCTACTTTTTACGGAAAAAATAATCCCATGATATTTTAATCCCACGAGAAATTCGAAAACTGTCGTGGAAGGACAACTAGTCTTCAATTCAAGTTTTTGTTTAGTTCTGCGTAATTTTAATTTTATTATAATAGGAAGAAATCCTACATTAATTGCACCTAAAACTCAAATATGCTCAAAATAACATTACTATAATAATGTCATACTATTATCTAATGATAAAACTTTCACAATCAATTAGATCCATCATTATTAAATTTAATGATGTTTTGTGTGACTAAATCCTGCCTACGTCATAATGAGGGTGTTAATTAGAAGGTGGGATCAATCACAAATGGGTTCTTTTGCTCATAAAATAATAGTCATGATTTTGCCGGAAAGCAGTACGGACTAAGGATACGTACGTCAAAGGCCAAAGTCAGTGCGAATTGAAAGTTTACTAAGCAAAGAATATTTTATTTTAATTTCAGTATTTAACAGTTTCGTTAACAATAAAGACAGTGTTTGTGTTGTTGTGAAGAAGATACAATATGAAGAGATTTTTAAGGTAAATGTTTTATCATCTGCTAGATTATGAGATTAAGCATAGATATGGCTATGAATTCAGCGTATTTCTTAAACGCGTCGATAATTAATTTTGTGGCTTGATAAGTCCGTGAAAATTGTGAAAATTTTGCATGTAGAGTAGGTACATAGATGCGAAGTGACGAGCGCTAAGCTATCTTTATCGCAATTGTTTGTCCTCAGCAACACGGCTGATAATCGGAGTGTCAATATTTTTCGTTACGTAGCAGTAGGTGGCTACAGTAACCTCAAGTTTCACCCCACACGCACTCTTTATCGTGCTTTGTTTTAAGTATTGAGATAATTTTCACTGTGTTTAAATTTTCATTAATTTCAAAGTAATACTTACAATATAGTTTAGTTCACTTAGTTACTTCATTTGTAAAGAATTTTTATGGGCTTGCTAGCTGCTTTACCCGCACCTTAATAGGTAACAACTTTCCCGTTCCATTAAATAGGTACAATAAGGAAATTGTTTCTATGTGATGAGATCAAGAACATATTATTTATGGAGAATACAGGCAATTAGGGGCAAAATATGTTTTATTGATGAAGAATTCAAATCTCTTTAAAATAGGGTTTTTAGAGGTTGATTTTCTTATTATACACAGAATATATGTTCAACTTATCGTAACTAGTTTCTCTTCAAAAGGAGCCTGGAACTTGACAGTTGGATCATTACTTAAGATATTTGGACATGTAGGTACCTACCTAAATTGATAACAGCTTAAAATTTAAAATAAGTGTTTAGCGGAGTAGTGTACTGTGTGTGGATGCCCTTATACAGGTATTTGCAATAATAAGCTTAAATTACGTTTTGCATAGTAGTTGTTTACAATATGTAAGTTTGTTTTCATGTTATTGCGTGTTTAACTTCTATGCTAATGTCCTGCTAAGTAGATAATCTGATAATTTTCCATTTACCTACTTATATCAAAACATAAGAATGCAATCTTTATGTGTTTAGATTTCGTTTAGGAAACAAAACACGTTTCTCTTTCATTAGGCGACCAAAAAATTGTGATCCCATCAAAAACAATACTTGTCAAAAAAACCAAGTCTCGCAACTCAGTTGTTCTACGGTATAAAGTTGTGAGATCCATGTAATACCAAGTCTAGGCCAGGAAATCTTTAACGTTTTACATAAATTATTGACTTGGCCATCGCACTAAATAATTTAATTTACACGTGTTTTCATGTATTGTTTCAAGTATTGTTTTTGATGGGATCTCATTTCTTTTTGTATTTTGTAGACAGCAGTTATGTATCTAGAAAACTGGACCGAAATTGAAAAATTTTACTCGACTTGGCGGTTGCACTACCGTGCCCCCAAATATTTTAGTTTTTCCTTGATTCATACACCAAACACTACTTATATTCCAAATTTGAAGCTTCTAGGTCTGCTAGAAGTGCCTTAGAATTTTGATGATCGGTGAGTCAGTCAGTCAGTCAGTCAGTCAGTCAGTGAGTGACAAAATAAGAAATTTTGACCCGTTATAATTCTTAAACTACTGGTTCAAATTGAATGTTTGAAATATACCGTGTCTTTACAATGCCTGCATAGCTAATGAAAATTCAGCCTTCTAGTTTTATCCACAACGAAGTTACAGGCGGTCGAAAATGGCCTGAATTGCTTCGAGAAAAGGATGGTACGGCCGTGCCGCTTCTTTGCTCGACTTGGTGGGGGCACTGCCGTGCCCCCAGATTGTGATCGAATGTTTGATTGTACATTTTGCAGTTATAGTACTATTGTCCAGGAGCTTGTTTAGGTTTCTGAAGACAATGTCTGAGACGCGTGTCGTGAAATTTGGTTCAGGAAAATTCCACAATTGCTTCCCAAGATTATCCGGCCGGGATTTTAATGACAGAAAATCTAATTTCGCAGTGGTCACTTGCCAAAACGTGTTTACGTGATGTTGCTTACGTCACGAGCGGTAGAGCCTGTCTTTGACCTCCATCGTCATTTCTGTCATGTGCTCTTTCAAACCAGAGGGAGTGTGCTAATGAACCTCTCGCATTGGCCGATTGGCAATGACGTCACGAGGCGTGTTATTTTCATACTGAGCGTTTCGCTCAGTTGTTATGATTGTGATAAGATAAACTTGCATGCCTACAACATTTTGCGGCATATAAAAAGCAAAAGCTATTCTAGAATCGTTTCAGTCAGTTCTCTGTCGCTCGTTTTGCATTTGGCGCCATCTTATTGAACCGCGGAGTGGATTTTAAACTCGCTATAAATAAATCCCGCTGCAACTGTACCGGTGAATTAGGCCGCTGCTCGTCGGATTTAACGTGGTCGAATATTAGTTCAAGATAATGTTTAGGAAGAGGAATCTTGTTGCACAACTCAACTGCTACCTCCCGTAAGTGAGCACTCTACTTGATTGTGTTAATTCTGCTGGCTGAGAGTAGATTTGGCTTGTGCGTTATTAACAATAGTATAATTGAAAACTAGCCAGGTAATAATGCGATTGAAAGTTCATTTCCTCGTTAACGTAGCCATGAATGTACAGCGACAGAAGCGTACAGCTCCTGCGCATAGATGTCGTAATCACCGACAGTTTTATTTTCCCGAGGCCATTCATTAGCTATTTAAAATAATACAATTCGTGATCCACCATATGCCAAACCTGTTAATAATGGTATAAGCTGTGAATCTTTGTCGTCGATCTCAGAATACTGGGGTTAATGCCACGGCCATAATGACACTCGTCAGTGTCAGTCCGCAGTCTACGCAGACCAGATCTATTCTTTTATGTTCTAATTGTTCCAACCTGTGTGATGCATCCTTTTTTTCTCAAATTAGCGAATTCTTATTTTTATCCCTGACTTGTTTGTCCTTTGTACGTATTCAACGAAATCCATACATACAAATAACGAATTACGTTCGTATAATAAAACTCAGCAAAGTGTGATTCTGTTTGAAAAGAGAAAAAAGTCTTATTTAATTTTCATCTCTATCAAATCAATCTAGTTCAAAATCTAGGGTATATTTTGTTTGCTGAACTGGATCATTTTGTTAGCACGGCAGTCCAACGCAAAAGGCCATAATTAATTAGCTCTAGAAGACGATTTTCTCCTACCCAGCTAATATTATTTTTTATGTTGTTCATAGAGACTTCGAGGCGTTTGCTGGATCACCACCAGCTCCTGAAGACTCGTTCTTCTACATTCGTTACCCCAAAACAGACGTGCTGTTAGGGAAGTCTAAGCTTGAGCAAGACCTGCCGAAGCTGCTGACTGAGATCCCCAAGGAGGTCACAGCCGCCACAGCTATCGCCAGCAGTGCCAAGGACAAGGATTGGTCCAAGCATACTAAGCCGTGCCAAGACGTCCTGCATAGCATTGCGCCCATCAACACAAGTGGTGAGTTTTCATTAACGTTTTATCTTATAATTCAAAAGATCAAGTCTTCCACTTTGTGGAGGATGAAGTTGATCCTCGAATGATTTCGAACTCCTCTTATATTTTACTAATTAAATTCGTTGCGGGTTCCAAGACAGTATCCTCTGGGTTGAACCTTCACTGGTTGGGTTTAATTAGAGGCCATAAGATCCTGACAGGAGTTGCAGTGGTTGAAAACATTTTTTTTTTCGGATTCGTTTCAGTAACAAATATGTTTACACTACACAAACGATGCATACAATATCATTGGGGTAGAGATAATGTGCACAACATAAAATGTTTGCCTATTTACATAGTTGTTTATTGTGTAGCGGTCGTCATTACTTATGTAGAGCATTATTGCTTTAATGAAATATTTCGTCATTTACTACTGAGATTATCGATGTAACCTTCGCCCCAATAAGCTGTCTTAGCACGACTGAAAGTTCATTAATTAATTACCTGTAAAGTGCTATGTTGTTTTGGTAATTTCGCGTAATAACTGTGACTTGAAACTTAAAAAAATCACGCTTGTTTGTGTAAATATTTTGCACACATCATGACTTATCATTTAAGTACACAGTTATCTGTGATGTCATGGGTTATTGCCTGTTTACCTTACAGCACCGGATTATGTACGCCATCAAAACGCACTGTTTTTGTTTTGGGGACACGCAAATCGGAAACATTACACATCCGGTAGACAAAAGAAGACGTAATGGTGTTGTTTAGTACTTTTGTCTCATGTTGTTATAATGTTTGTTTATTTGCAGTGAACTCGGTGTCTTCCAAGCCTAAGCCAGCCGGCGTGGACGACGGGTTCAAAGGAGAGGGCGCGGCGTGCGGCAACTCCGTCGTCAAGGTCGGTAGCACCGCTCATGCGAGTGACCACAGCTAATTAACGACAGTAATTATTATATTACTCACTGATACGGGGGGTCTGCTAGTTCACCGGGGTTGCACTACGATAATTTTTTATCGCATTAGGTGGCTCGCACACTAGGAATAGAACATGTCCACCCGGATTAAATTATACTGAAAGGAATAACAAACATAATAATGTCGATGATATAACATAACGTACGTAATATGCATGAAATTATCTAATTTGAAAAATCTGTGTGGTAACAATAACAATGTATTTTCGTCCGACAAGATAAGCTCCTCTTATCGTAGTTTGTTGCTTGCATTACCTACTGTTTTTGCAAAATTTTACTGAAAGTAAATTATATTGAAAGGAATAACAAAAAACATCTACGTCGATGATATAACATAACATACGTAATGCCTGAAATTATCTAATTGGGAAATCTGAGTGGTAACAATAACAGTGTATTTTCGTCCGTCAAGATAAGCTCCTCTTATCGTACATAGTGTATTGCTTGCATTACCTACTACTTTTGCAAAATTTTACTGAAAGTAAATTATATTGAAAGGAATAACAAAAAACATCTACGTCGATGATATAACATAAGATACGTAATGCCTGAAATTATCTAATTGGGAAATCTGAGTGGTAACAATAACAGTGTATTTTCGTCCGTCAAGATAAGCTCCTCTTATCGTACATAGTGTGTTGCTTGCATTACCTACTACTTTTGCAACATTTTGTTCTGTTGCGTCACCCCTAAATCTGTATTTATTCCAGGTCGCTCATCAGATGGTGTCTGGTCGGTCGGGGCGCGGGTTCACGGTCGCTTCGCCAGAAGACGACCCGGCGGAGCACTACAACTTTAACGTGCGTCGCGGCAGCAAGAGCTTGCCAGTCACTCCCGCGCACTCGCCCAACGCCAGCCCTACTAGTCGCCGCAAGATGACCGGCAACCGGTATGTGTCTATAGTAGGCTAGTTATTAAATTCTTTAGCTCGAGTCCGTAATGTAAATATTGAAATAACGGATTTTAAACTTTCGCATTCCGTTATGATTAAAGCTGCTTGCGATGAAAAATGTATTCAAGCTATGAATGAGCTGCGCTTTGAATAAAAGTCAACCTGCCACCAGCCTTAGATGAACCACGTGGGCATTTGTACGGCTGTAGTGTTGTCCAAAGCTTCTCTTGCATTTACCTCGCTGTGACAAGATCAGTCACGTGTAATCCAGACAAACATTTCGCAATGTAAACAGCGCATCGTTACGTTTTTGTTTTTTAATCGTAGTCACAAGCAGTCTGCTTGTAGTAATGCACATCAGACTACACATGTCAGTTGCAAAGTCGCCCCTAATGCGACGATATAAGGTTTTCGTCCGTACATACAGTTTGCATATTGTTTATTTTTAAATGTAAATAATAATTGGTTCAACAATCACATGACTAGATAACAACAGATACGTAATGACGAAATACGGAACATACGTAACGTCATGAGTAAAGGTATGAATGCGCTCATTTGCAGTATCCTGCCTAGCCGGTGTAATAAAACCACTATGCGTATCATCAGGCCAATTGCACTTTACATTGGGTTTAATTTTAATTGGCCTAAATCAATCAAATTTTAATGATTTCTAATGTCTGTCTATGGATCACGTATGAATTTACTGGCGGAAATTCGAAACGCCCACTTTTATAGCTAAACTCACTGTCACATGACAATTAAATGGTGGCACACAGATGATATTTCATGCAAATTCAAAGTTATTAATGATACCAATAGTGGCTGCGGTAGATCGCGATGTTCACAACATTGCGGTCAGCTTTGCTTGCTTAGCTTACGGAAATCCTTATGGCATTTTGCATCATCTCCTGAGCATATTCATTTAAATGACATGATCGTAAACCGGTATCGCCGCGCTCTTTATGAACTTCAAAATGTTGATATTTAAAAAAATCATACAGACGATTCCTTTCATGAAGTTGGTTAAAAATGACGTGATCTTTGTTGACATTTTGTATTAACACAGATGTCAGTATGACCTATGAATAGTTAGTTACAATACCTCTCTTTATTTTTTGTTTAATTTACCTATTTTAGAAACTGTAAACACTGTATATTTTAATACTGATAGTACTACACCCAGTCAGAGAGCATTATACATAGGTATAAACATCGTTATCGCTACTTCTTTGTTTATACAATTTTTATCTGTTTTTTACAAATTAATATTTAGAACAAACACACATTGCCAAGAACAATAAATTCGCGTTCACACGCGGACAACCTTAATCGCTTAGATCTTTGTTTATTATTTTACAATTAAAATACTACTTGACGATAAAGGAGCATAATTCTTTGTGATAGTGGTCGTCATCCTTTATTTAGCTGGATTTTGCGCTACGGAATATCCCAACCAACTTTATCAAATTCAAATTGACGTATACGGTTGAATTTTAAATTCGAGAGGTGTGGCACGACGATCTCAACGATTATGGTAAAAACGTTATGTTAAACATGTGATAAACATTACGTCACAAAGTGAGCGCGAACGTTAATAATAAAATGCAGCCGAACATTCGGTGTTCAACGAAATGAAATTATCGCGGTTAGTGGTTACTGAGAAGTGAGAATGTCGCGACTCGTGCGTCATCAACATTAGCAGACATTAACGAAACTGGTCGTTTGACATTCAAACTGGATTCCTCTTATTCTATACTGGTTAAAACAAAGCAAAAATGTTCATTGCCATTATATTTATATGAAAGTTAATTTAGTATAGCGACAGTTCAATTTGATGATGACTTTTGAAATGAATGTTGAAATGGATGTTTTCGACATAAATTGGTTTTTACTATCATTTACCTAAAAATTCATTTAGATGGTGTCTTACTCTCATTTTTTTACCATTGTCACACACATGTCATACGCATGAATATGAACTATCGTGTATGCACATGTGCTTTACTTGTTCGTATTCTTTTGTCACAGAAACAATAAGTATGAATTTTCCTTAGCCGTCATTTCCTATCCTAGCAACAGCAACTATTTGATAAATTACTTTTGGAATGTCGACTAGGTAGTGAGAAGCTTCCTTCTTCCTTGTTTGTAATAGAACAAAGATATTTCTGTTAATTATCTCAGTAGGGACTGCCCTTGATAACATTCGCGCATATTTGTAGTTGTCCGATTATTTTAATTTGAGCAAGATATTCTTGACAATTTGTTTCCCAGTGCCAACATTCACTATAATAGTTCATTTAATACCAAAACTCACATGCCATAACAAGTTAAATATCTTACCAGATCTTTAAATTACTAAAGCTTAAGTATTGTGCGATGAGACTTAAGAATTGATGTTTCTGATAATGAAATCGAATGACCTGTAAGGATTGAAGGACATACAGAATTGATAAATGACAGACGCAAAACAAAGTCCACTCTGTTTCGTATGTATAGATTCTTATGGATAATCAAGTAGTTTCCTATAGTTTCTTATTTGACTGATGCAATATACCACCTAATTTACCAGTATAAAGTTCCATACTCATTTGTCTGGTCTCTTGTTCCAGCTACTTCACGTCTCCGTTCGAGCCGGTAGAAGACGCTTCAAGCCGCTCATGGCTGACCATGGCGCTGCTCGGCTTCAAGAAAGACCTCACCACCTCCACTTCCACTCTGGCTGAGGAGGACGCCGTGGAAACCAGGCTACAAGGTTTGTGGAGTACTTTTTTAAATTATTGTCTAAGAAATTCCGGAGTGACAGTTTGACTTGAGTGTCAATTAACTCCAATTAAAAATATGAGAAAGGTACTTACTAGAGTTTGCATGTGTTAAATCTGATTTGTCGCAAAGGTGTTCTTGGAAACGTTAAAATATTCCAAATTACCTAATTAACTGTAAAATAAGCACTGTATGTTGTTAAAGCTACTTTTAGAAAATAAAACACGTTAAAATGCAGTTTAAAAAAAACTGAATGCACAGACATTTTGAAATTTGTTGCTGTGTTATTGGCATTATTTGCCTAGAATAACTATTGAACCCATTCGTAAACATTATGTAAATTCATAAATTATTTTTGCCACTAAAAATGATGCAATAAGTGCACGACTGTCATCTTGAATTGTGACGTAGATCTAGCTGACTTAGATCAAGTAATATTCTTTACATAGCGCGGAGTTCAAAACCTACACATTTTGGGAAAACGGTAGTTCTTTTAATACACACAATATCTTGTCAACATTGACGTCAAACAAAATTAGAATTCTTGCTTTTTCATCATTACGTCCGTAGAATTTGTACCATAATACGAACATTGAACCATTCGCAATAATGTCAAACAGCTGACTAATAAGTAAAACTTTATGTAAACATGTTATGAATATTCATTAACTTACGAATATACTAAATAACTGATCTACGTTAGCATTGTGGAGATAAAATATCTTGCTGGATAAACATTTGAACAGCGACTATAAACGAGGTTGATTGCACAAATTATCTAAGTCCTTAAAATTGAGGTGAAACTAAACTTCACTAAATTGATTCTGGCGATCTCGTTAGTATTGTATAATAAGTTTAGTGACGCAAATTGGGTGAAGTAATCTAGCATTGTATCATTAGAATGTAGTTATTCAATCTTTTGTCCACAATGTTGTACACGTGGTGGATGGATGAGTCTAATGACATTCGTGACGTATGCTTAAGTAAACTTTGATTCCTAGTGCGTGCACGTGAATCTCCGTAGTATATTATGTAGATGTAGCGTATACATTTTGTCACTGTTAGTCTACACTCCGATATAATCGCACGGTTTCTGTAAGCGTGGTGAGTTCAGTTTGATCCAGTTCGCTCCCGTTTTGATTTCGTTGACATCAGTCATGGATAATTTCAGATTAATATGTAAGTTATTTAGTATATTCCCATTATTATTAAACTTTAAAAAAAAAAAACTAGTAACAATGAAATTAAATCATTAATAATTATAATTTATTGTGTGCATTGGGTAATAAAATAATAATTATTTACTTCATAATAACAATTTAGATAATTTTACTTACGTTAACATCTTAAAATAAAAATAAAACATTGAAACAGTAAACATAAAGATTTTTTTTTTAAAATGTTTAGCTTGCTATGACGTCACAACTACTTTACACATAATAATGTTTGTACAATGAAAACAATGACGTGTTTTTTTTTCTCAAAGCGACAAAATAACTACATATTATTGTCATATCCAAAAGAAACATAAACAAAGTTGAAATTGTCGTTGGATTTCCTATCTGTAAATCTTCATTAAAATTCGATTAAAACATCACATACTACACAATGTGTTGTCAGTTTTATCACGTTTGGCTTATCTATCTTTGCGACAAAACGGATGAGGTAATTTATTTACTCTGAACACTTTGATTTTGAATATCAGCTCTGGGTATATCGGCTCTAGACATCTCGCTCTGGCCACTCGTTAGGTGAGTGATCGTGAGTGATCAGTGATACATTGATAGAATTAAATGGAAGAAATAGTTTAGTACGTTGTAGGGCCTCAGAGCATCATTGTAACATAATTTTCCAAGTCGGAGAATTACCGAACAATCATCATCATCATCATCATGTCAGCCATAGGACGTCCACTGCTGAACATAGGCCTCCCCTAATGCTTTCCACATTGATCGATTGGTAGCGGCCTGCATCCAGCGCTACCCTGCTACCTTCACGATGTCGTCGGTCCACCTTGTAGGTGGACGTCCCACGCTGCGCCTTCCGGTACGCGGCCTCCATTCCAGAACCTTGCTGCCCCATCGGCCGTCAGTTCTGCGCACTATGTGCCCTGCCCATTGCCACTTCAGCTTGCTAATCCGAACAATCGCACCGGAAATATCTCTCAGAAGTCTAATTTTAGTTTTTGTTTACAGTCGGCACGCTGGCGGAGTCAGTCGAGAGTCTTGGGCCGGCGCCAAGGGACAAGGCGCGGCAGGCCGACCAGGCCCCCCGCCCGCCCGCGCCCTCGCGGCCCGCCCAGGCCTTCCGCCCCAAGCCCTCCGAACTAAGGGAGATGAACTTCTGGTCGCCGACCTCCATGTGAGCCCAGCTCACCCGCGCTCAATAGATTGTTAGCGCACCACTAGTACTTCTCTAATGTCCCCAACTGACCGCCGAGCGCGGTCGGCCGGCACTAACTAGAGCTAGACACTGGAGTGTCGTGTCGTGTTCCAACGATATCGCATCCGTACGATTCAGAAGCCGCACCTCGACGATGCGTTCTGGTAACGTGGTGAAATTAGGATTAAATAGGATTAAATTGACAGATTTGTTTAGAAGTAACACCTCTGAGATTATGACGCGACACGACACGCGAGATTGATGTGTCCCCCGATTTGTTGTTGATCTGGAGGCGAGTGCCTCGACTCGATGGTTGTCACCCGACTAAAGACCCCGTCTGATTCGCCTACATAACGGATGATTAAAATCTGTCTGGTGTGATCTTACGGAGACGATGTGATCTTTCTTTTATATTCCATTAATTATAAGGTTTAATGTTGTCTTGTCGATTTGTTAAGATATTTAATTTCACATTGATTTGTCATTTGATACATTTTATGTTCATAATACAATAGATGCAAATAGTTTTTGTAGTGTAAGTATTCAAAACATTTAATTATGACCTGTGTACCTAAAACTGTCTAACACAATAATATTTAAATATTTACCTAAGTATTTGTGACGTCAATGGAAAAATCAGTATGAAAGTTATTTTTGTATTACATTGTGCAAGGATGAATTGATATGATAAGATTGTATGACTGGAAACTTGATTAAGTTTTGAGTATTGTAGGTAAAATTAAAACGATGTATAATTTCATTCATGAGCTAAAGTGACGAATTTAAAAATATTTTGAGCAGAAAATTTTCGATATTCTCTATTTTTTAATGTTCTATGTTTATTACTTACCTTATTAATAATATTAAGGAGAAGTAGTTGTAGAACATGTAATATTATATTTATGATATATCAATAAATATTTGTTGGTTTACTTCATTTAATGTTGTTTTTATTACTGTTAGACCTTATATTTAGGAAACTATAAGTTTTTAATTTGACAATCGACATTTGTATTGACTTAAAATAAAAAGCCACTACATACTGCTAGCTCTGTGTGGAAACGACACGAAATACTACAATGAAGTTATTTATAGACTATACGAACGAAACTTGGAAACTTGTTGTAACAATGGGGCTTAATTTCTATTTGTCTTTAAACCAGAACTCTAAGAAAAAAGCATTCCACTGCAGTATACTTACTGCATTAAACTTAAATTTAACTAAAGCAATAATAAAAAGGTGCATAGTAGAGATGAAACGGATAGTTGTTTGGCCGGATACCGGATACCGGATATCCGGCCAGCTGCTAGGCCGGATAGCCGGATATCCGGCGGCCGGATAGTTGGCTCATTGTCTCGTTGCATATCGTGACGAGTTTAGCGTCGCACAGGTGCTTCGAACGCGATCAGTGGGTCTATTAGTAGGCTAGACTAGTCACACTTTTCGAAAATCGAATCAGTCCGAATAGAATGTCAGATTTTGCCACTTGTCTAGGGGGCAGATCAATTCGGGCGATTTCGGTTGCCATCGTGAGTGTGTGATTGAATAGCGAAAATTAAATTAGTTTACTTGCTGCATAATCTGACTGAATTGCATCAGATCATCATCAGTGAAAAAAGATCGCCTATTTCATTTGGCAATATTTCGATTTGACAGGTATTTTTAAAGTTTATGTATTCGTCATTAGAGTGAATAGGCCAGAAAAAGAAATAAGTTTTTTTAAAGGCCTTAATAATGGCTTTTTGTAACTTTTTGGACTTTAAATAAAAGACGCCATTATTATATGACATTTTATTGATGTTTACCTCAAAGATTAATGTATTTCATTTTATTAAAACAGGAAATTGTCGTAGTTTTTTAATATCCGGTATCCGGCCGGATAGTGAGTTACTATCCGGTATCCGGCCGGATAGTAAATTTAGGCCGGATATCCGGCCTACCGGATAGTTACCGGATATCCGTTTCATCTCTAGTGCATAGCCTTTTAAAAATAATACCATACATTTATTTCACGACATTCATTTATAGACCGCTCAATATTATGTGTACCAGCCAGCCAACGACGACGACGAGTCACTAAAATTTTACATCTTTTTACTAACTCCTACATGTTTTACTTAGGGCGACAATATTATACCGGTTGAGTTACATATTATGTTCTCACATGGCTACGTCCATGTTTTAAAAATTAAGTAGGTACAATTAATTGGCTTATTTTCTTTTTTTTTTTCAATTTTATTGGACGAAGAAAGTATAATTGGCGGACTTAATAACTAACTTGCTGTTAATGTGATATACAATGTTAAAAAAAAAAAAATTATTAGCTGGGATTAGGTAAGAGTAATAATATTTTATGTGTATTTTATTTTCATAACAAAATAGTTACCGGTTTCCGTTGCGTGACCGCGCGTCGTACACATTTTATGATTACTCGAGCATTTGGCCCGTTTTTTGTATCGTTTTACTTCGAATCTATAAGTCTACGACTTCAACGACATCACCGCTAGAGTAAGACTAGTCTTCTTTACAAACATTACAAATTGTTGTTTGTAATATTATTTTAAACAATAAGGAAGTACCGAGATAGCATAGTACCTACTTGTTTATATTTTTTACTTCCTAAAATACCTAGCCTACATAATTTTTCAAAATGTAAAAATATTTACTATGACACCAGCGATGCTGTTACTTATCTTTGCTTAGAAAGGAAGATGTCAGGAAGGAAAGTGTTTTAACAAAAATTGGGAACTGCTTACTTGCATAGGTAAGTAAAAACCTAATTACTTACGCAGTTGCGTAAAAAAACACAAGTTAATTTGATATTAAACTTAACTTGTATTTTTCTTTTTTTTTTAAATAAAATGAAGCCAAAGTCAGTGATCGGTCTGCACCGATCGACTTACAGTCGTGCTTTTTAGGTATTTAGCTTGTAATCTAGATTTACGAAAGGCGAATTGGCACGCGATCCCCACGCACGCAGCTTTTATGTCGGCCCATGGTGGTGCCTATTTTATTATCGGCTGGTTATTTAGGCGAATGCTTTATTTCGAATTTGGCTTATGCGATGCGGTTATTTCCTCTTGCGTGTCATTTTATGGCAAGTCGATAAAAGGAGCAAATAGACTTCGTATCGCATTGTTTTATGATACTGATGTTTAATACCTACTTAGGGAGGAGTTTTCCACCATTGTAATAGGAAATGAGATAGGTAGGTACCTACCTACTTCACAGCCAAAATATAGTGTTGGTACCAAAACGTAATTCAAGAAAAAATAAAAATATTTGGGTTAATATGGTAGATAATTCGATGCAACTGAAGTGATTCCTAGGTAATGTAACCCCTGGCAAAAATATCCTTACGTGATTTACACTAATTAGTCACCTACATTATTAGTTATTGTTTTAAATTAACTTAGATGAATAAAGCCAACCTAAAAATTAAAAAAAAGTTCCTGTTCACGCAATTTAATTGTTATAGCCTGACCAGGAACATAAAAACCCTCGCCATGTTGCGGAAAACTAATGGTACTAATTTCTTTTAATGGCAACAGTAACTGAAAACTTCATTGACATGTCACCTTGCATGTCAGTCTATTGTTGTCAAAGTGTAAACAAACTTTATTTTAAATGTGTGCAATTGATTTTGTGAATTAAATTGCTAAAATATTTTTATAGTCGTGAAAGAAAAGTGGTTCACAATGCGTTAATGTATTTGTCGAAGAGAAATACTAAGGGTTCGGACAATATTTTCATTGAATAATGTTTCCGACAAAGGTTGTCAAATTGACTGACATGTTTATCGTAAAGTATAGTCCACTATGAAAATTAGCTGTAGTCTGTTTCAACTACCTATTTTAAAGATTTTTGTCACTTTCTAAGTTTTGAATTTTATGGAATTGGGAAAGAAGTACCGAGTTTGAAGCGTTAATGAGCAGACATTGCAGTTGAATATTCAAGTTCTGAATTTGATATTGATGAATAATAAAATAAATCCTACTAGCTAGATTGATGGTTTCATTTAATTTTTTTAAACCAGGTTACCTTTAATAATATTTTTTCGTTAATTTATGAAAATATCAGATTAGCCCGTAATCCTGAATCCTGATACATAAATTATTTAGCCTATTAATTTAACACATGTACGACTGTACTCAGTGTTGCACTATCAAATGCAATTGACGCGCCTCTATGCCAGGGTTTTTATGTTCCTGGTCAGGCTATACCTAACTTAACGAATTCAGTGATTCAGGCTGTTGATTTCTATAAATATTTAAATTTAAAAAGACACTAAAATTTCACTAAAACAACCGGCACACATTCCAAAAGAAATGCGCTGCAAAGTGCGAACTCTAAATAAATATCAGCGCGAAGGAAGCATTGTTTTCCCACAATTTCTCTTCCGACTTTTTAATTAGTCCCGTTTCATTACTCAAATCGGATTGCGTTCGCGCCCGTGGCTCTTAAGGACAGCCTAATTTGCGCTTCTGAAAAAATTACGGAGGAACGAATTAAAGTCTTTTCTCCCGCGGTCTTGAGTGAGTCGCGATGTTACTTTTAATGTCCACTTATAAATAGGAACCTGATTAGAATATCAAGATTGTTACGATAATAGGTACGTTTTTGTTATCTTGAGATATAATGCAGTTGATGATTTTAGGTAGGTTAAACACAAAATTATCTTTATTCGTGTTGAATTAAATTAGGACATACTTACAAATCGTCAAATGTTCTTAAGGAAGGAGCCTATCTTTTTTACCCTACTAGTAGGTATTATAAGTAAGTAGTTTATGAAGTTACAGTTAGTTTTTCAGATTTGTGACATATTTAATTAATAAGTTTTGGTTCCTACGCATTATTATGTGGACAACAGTATTAGGACATTATAAGGCTGAATCTTATTATCACCTCAAAAGATTTTTTAAATAAGAATTAATATAGCATAGGGCCTCTACTATACGCATCGAATGTAAAAAAAATAAGTTTTGTATGTAGAAAAAGTAAAACATTCATTGAAGCATGTGAAATACCGCAGTGACACTCACGAAGCACATTTCATCCGAGCCGGCTCGTTGATTTACAGCAAGTTCTTTTCGTCCGTGATGACAACAAAGACGTGATATGAAATTGAAAAGGTCCGTGTCCTAGCTAGGGGTTGACAGATGCGGTGCACTCGTAATTTGGTCGACTCAGCGCTCCGTATCTCGTGTTTACGACGTCACGACAACTGAGCTGACCTCTGCCTGGGATATGTGGCGTTTAAATATGTATGAAGCTTCCCAGAACTCACTATTTTAATACTTAGGTCGGCAGGTTGCTAAGCACACCGTATTTATAAAGTTTGTAAAGTAAAACACCTGCGGGGATTTGTGTATCAGGCGTTTTCCAATTTAACAAGCATATTTATGTTAAACTTCGTCAAAACTTAGTTTTAGATTTAAATAAACAGTTCTAGATAGATTAGTTTACACAGCGAAATTAATTCTCCTAAAATTATATAGCACAGCGGTTTAGTGCAGTTTGATAACCGTCCATAATTAATATTTAATTAAACTAATACTTATGATAACGGTATCTAAAGTGTCATAGCGCTTACCCTAACTAATAACGCTTATAATAGTGTCTCAAACTGAGCGCAGATAGCTATCCACCTTATTGTGTGGAGGTGAAAATTAATTAAACAATTTTGGGTTAAATGTGAGCAGCTGCTTCAGATGTTAAACCTAATTAATAATATTGAAACCGCTCACACGCCGGCAGGTCGCATAATTACAGGCGC